ACTAATAACACACAAAGAATGAAATGTTGCCATGTTTTTATTGAACACACCATGTAAACATTCACAGTGCAGGTGGAAAAAGTATGTGAACCCTTGGATTTAATAACTGGTTGAACCTCCTTTGGCAGCAATAACTTCAACCAAACGTTTCCTGTAGTTGCAGATCAGACGTGCACAAACGTCAGGAGTAATTCTTGACTATTCCTCTTTACAGAACTGTTTCAGTTGAGCAATATTCTTGGGATGCCTGGTGTGAATCGCTTTCTTGAAGTCATGCCACAGCATCTCAATCGGGTTGAGGTCAGGACTCTGACTGGGCTACTTCAGAAGGCATATTTTCTTCTGTTTAAGCCATTCTGTTGTTGATTTACTTCTATGCTTTGGGTCATTGTCCTGTTGCAACACCCATCTTCTGTTGAGCTTCAGCTGGTAGACAGATGGCCTTAAGTTCTCCTGCAAAATGTCTTGATAAACTTGGGAATTCATTTTTCCTTCGATGATAGCAATCTGTCCAGGCCCTGACGCAGCAAAGCAGCCCCAAACCATGATGCCCCCACCACCATACTTCACAGTTGGGATGAGGTTTTGATGTTGGTGTGCTGTGCCTTTTTTTCGCCACACATAGTGTTGTGTGTTTCTTCCAAACAACTCAACTTTGGTTTCATCTGTCCACAGAATATTTTGCCAGTACTGCCGTGGAACATCCAGGTGCTCTTGTGCAAACTATAAACGTGCAGCAATGTTTTGTTTGGACAGCAGTGGCTTCCTCTGTGGTATCCTCCCATGAAATCCATTCTTGTTTAGTGTTTTACGTATTGTAGATTCGCTAACAGGGATGTTAGCATTTGCCAGTGACTTTTGTAAGTCTTTAGCCGACACTTTAGGATTCTCCTTCACCTCATTGAGCAATCTGCGCTGTGCTCTTGCAGTCACCTTTATAGGACGGCCACTCCTAGGGAGAGTAGCGGCAGTGCTGAACTTTCTCCATTTATAGACAATTTGTCTTGCCATGGACTAATGAACAGCAAGGCTTTTGGAGATACTTTTATAACCCTTTCCAGCTTTATGCAAGTCAACAATTCTTAATCGTAGGTCTTCTGAGAGCTCTTTTGTGCGAGGCATCATTCACATCAGGCAATGCTTCTTGTGAAAAGCAAACCCAGAACTGGTGTGTGTTTTTTATAGGGCAGGGCAGCTGTAACCAACACCTCCAATCTCATCTCATTGAATGGACTCCTGTTGGCTGACATCTCACTCCAATTAGCTCTTGGAGATGTCATTAGTCTAGGGGTTCACATACTTTTTCCACCTGCACTGTGAATGTTTACATGGTGTGTTCAATAAAAACATGGCAACATTTCATTCTTGTGTGTTATTAGTTTAAGCAGACTGTGATTGTCTATTGTTGTGACTTAGATGATGATCAGATCACATTTTATGACCAATTTGTGCAGAAATCCATATCATTCCAAAGGGTTCACATACTTTTTCTTGCAACTGTATGTGGGTTAACAACTTCTTGACCCAAGGAAAGAACTGACTGCCATTCTGGGGGGGCAAGAAGAAGAATTTATTTCCTACTTTGTTGTAAAATTATAAAGATCTACAAACTGGGGTTATTGCTTTCTTTTGGAACAGCAGCAACAAATGTGAGGAAGCTGAACTTGATGGATGCAAGTCTTTTTTCGGAACATGTAACTATGTAATATAATTTGTTATTACTGAAAATTTATTTTGTTAAGCAATTTCAATATGCAAGCCAAATGGTTATCTTACCATAACTATGTTAGTTTCTTAATGCATCACCCTAATGTTGGAAGCGAAGATAAGAATTTCAAATGCTTTTCACAATGCCATTGAAGCATGAAGCAAGATAATTTCACACACCAAGTATATTGTTAAGATGTAGGATGTGTTTATTGAATCACAATACATAATAAAGAAAAGACAGTCCTCAAATGTTATTATTTCTATGCATGTGATTAAACCAATAGCAAATCTCTTTGTGTGAATATTTGAAAACACAAAGTGAATATTTGAAAACACTAGCCTGAGTATTCTTATCATCCCTACTCCTCTCGCCCCATACAAATGCAAAGTGGGTATACTTTTAAGAGCATAATTTCCATGCCCAGGGCATGAGTGCAAAAGTGGGGTGCTTTGAAAGGCCAACGCTCCAGACACTAACCATCGTCTGACTGTACATGAGGTCAAGGGGAACGATTTTAGAAAAAGGATATGAGAGTTCAATATAAACATACTCGTTTTCCTGGCACTATAGTTAAACTTACCTCTTTTTCCAGCGCCGGGCGGGGAGCTCTCCTCTTCCTCTCCTCCCTCTTCTCCTCCTCTTCGGCTGAATGCACATGCGCGGCAGGAGCCGCGCGCGCATTCAGCCAGTCCATAGGAAAGCATTCACAATGCTTTCCTATGGACGCTGGCGTCTTATCACTGTGATTTTCACAGTGAGAAACGCAGAAGCCCTCTAGCGGCTGTCAATGAGACAGCCACTAGAGGCTGGATTAACCCTAACATAAACATAGCAGTTTCTCTGAAACTGCTATGTTTATAGAAAAAAGGGTTAACCCTAGATGGACCATGCACCCAGATCACCTCATTAAGCTGAAGTGGTCTGGGTGCCTATAGTGGTCCTTTATATTACCCAAAAGTGGACCACAGTTGAAAATAAAGTAACACGGGCAAAATGAACATATAAGAAACTGTATCCAAAGTCCCATACTATCATAAAGCATCTTACATAACATGTTAACCAATTTGAGTGCATTGCGATCCACATGTAATTTGCCATAGTATTCTGGATACCAAAAGGTGTAGACAATACATTTCTTTCTGGAACCTAACATTTCTGAAATCATTCCATGTTTTCAAAATCATATTTTCCAAGATAAATTAGTAATTGCTAATGAATCAGAGCTATCGTTGAGAAAACAAGGTTATACAACCTGGCTATAAACCACTCCCAAAACCACGGTTGAATATTTATTTGATATGGCTGGGTATGGTGACATCAAGCAAATTTGTTCCTGCATTAATTTTGTAAGTTTTGATATAAATGGAAGTTTCTAACTATATCCTATGCAACTCAAGAATGAGAAATGTTTTGGTGGATTTCCTGTAACTGTGATACAAACATAAAAAGCTATATGTAGTTGACACCGTAGCATACATTTTAAGGTTAATTGGCATCTATAACCTTTTAACTTGAATACTACCAGTAGTCCTACCATCAAATGGAAAAGTGCAGATGGAATATAAGGTTTCATAAGGCATCATATAGAACGAAACAGATGTTAATACTTAAATTTTCTTTATTTCTTAGTGCACCACCAATGTGTAACATATAGGTTGAATAGAAAGAAATTAGAATTTCAATTATATTAAATATGAATTATTACATTTACGTTTTTGCTCACTGTAAACTACCAGGTCCATTTTCAATCATTAAGTTTATTAACAAAAAGCATCCTAGATCCCTATGGCAAAGTCTGGATCAGGGGACAAAAAGGGACATAACCCGCCCCTTCCCCCCCATCCTCCCTCCACTTCATTTCCTCTCTTTATCTGCAGGGCACAGAGACAGAACTTTTATTAACCCATTCCTGAAGAAAATGCTTAGAAATTATTATGTGAAAATATAATTGTCTCTGTATTCATTCATTGCCATGTAAGCACAGCTAGAAAACAAAAGCTCAACTCTAAAATAAGCAAATGTGAAGTAAAATAATTTTGTAGGCAGCTGAACTGGTGCTTTATGCAAAATAACAGAATACAATGGAAAATGATTAGTTAAGAACAGCTCTGCTACAGTGACATGATTTAAATAAGCTCATCTGTAGCAAACAGATACCCAGCGTCAATTACAGCACACAGAGACAGTAAATCCTATTATAGAACACAGTAGAAAAAGATTATAGAGGAAAGGTTCAGTAAAACAAGAGGGACCTGTATTTCCTGCATGGAGATCTTTTTTAAGATGCCCATAATCACAGGGAATGTGTGTTTAGGATAATGCGTGTGTACTTTGTATCGTAGATTACAACCAAGTGCAAACATGTAAACGTATAGTGTATACAGTTTATCAGTGAGTCTCTATATGTATGGAGGTCTCTATAAAAGTTCTGTATTTCGTGGCACAGCATCTCAGCACCGCGCCCTGTGCATTCACCAGGCAGTGATCTAATCAAACAGTGGCGGATTATTCTGTTTACTCACTGTGAGGCTGCAGTGGAGACTGAGTGTGTTACACCTACTCACTATTACAAACACACACAGCTTTGTCTTCATTTTCCTAAATAACCCCAAACTAAACTTCTCTCTCAAATATCCCAGCTTTAACTCAACAACAAAAACACCAACATTCCATACTGTATCCTGTGTTTGTGAAGGCTGATTCTATACACCTGTTAATGCACAACCATTCTAAATAGAACGTTCCAGCGCTGTCCCACTGTTGATCCATCCTCAACTCATTCTCTCATTACAATTCGGAAGTAAGTTATCCAAATGTCAAGCCTAATAGGACTTCCCACAACGTCTGGGAGTATTTGCTAAACACCAGATTGAAGTGAATTGAAATCACGGAGTTGTAAAAATGTCAAGATCAGCACTTTTAACTATTTTTATATATATATATATTTTACATTTCATACAAATTAATTTTCAGTGAATAAACATGTTTAGTGTATTTTAAATTCCTCCGTTTAGGCGGTGACACAAGCCTTGTCACCATACACCAAAGTTTTGTATACTGCACTAAACTCATACTACAATGCTACTAGCGCCCAAGATCTGTGTATTTGTAAACACATGGAGTTGATGTACACAGTCAGCGTCACCTCAAACACCTCCAGACCCCCTCGCCCCCTCCCTGATGTTTCCTTTCACCACACTGCTCTACTTCCCTGACACAAGCACAGCAGTGTTCTCACTTTATTGACTTTTTAACTATGCTATGCTTGATCTCACGCCCATCCTAAAGCCTACCAATACACAAATGTCAGTATATGCCAAGAAGCTATATGTATTCCAGCCGTGTTCCTGCAATGCAACCTTAGTTACGGAAATACTTTTCTGTTAGTCACACTCACCCCAGGGTGCTGATGAAGCCACACACTGTTCCTTCAGCATATAGGGATACGATGTCCCCAATGTGCAGGAAGCTGGACATCTCACTCATCTTGGCGGTCTGCTGCAGGGACTTCACTTGAACTGTGGTCACTCAGGTCGAGGGAGAGTTCATCACCACACAATACTCTCTGAAGTACTCTGTTCCTACTTTCTTTTAGTTTTATATCCGCCTGACTCCAATTTCAGTTTCTTTCATGCATCTAGTAGTGTATATGTTTTTTAAATTAATATCTGACTACTCCTTTCCTTGTTGGATATCTATATAACTATATAGCTATACACACACCTCTCTATGTATATCTATATAGTTTCTGTCATCTGCCTGTTTGGTGAGAATCTGTCTGTTCCCTTATATCATGTTTTGTATCTGTCACGTTCTATTTCTCACTTCCTCCCTCTAAGTTTACCTCACCGACTCCTTCACTTTACGAGCTTGTCTGCCTCTCTCCCCCCTCTATATCACTCCTTCTCTCATGCACACTGTCTCCTCTCTTTCTCTGGTTCTTGCTAGTTCGTCCCTCCTTCTTTCTCCTTCCCCCTTCCCTCCCTCTCTTCACCTGTACATAACCAGGAAGTTTTCTGAAATGCAAATACTATCTTCCGCACAGACACACCCCTACACCCTCACCAGAAAGTGCGTTTTAACTGTGTCCATGCCTACTTTTCATGCTGTGTGATTATATATGTTGTGCACTATAGTACTATAGAGGAATATTATATGGCTCAGTGATACGTTTAAATGTTTCTTTAATAATAGTAATGCATAATTCGAACACAGAAAAGTGAAAGTATTAAGGCAATACAATGCAGTTGAGTTGTGGACAAAAAACATTAAATACAAGACAAAAAGAGAAAAGTTTCAAAAACCTGCATTGTAATCCTATAAATGACAAATTTATTTGCAGCATTACAATAGGGACACACATAGCACACACGTACCTAAATTGCCTTACTAATTTAAAAAAAATGGCTACTTACGTATTGTAATTTTAATGCTTACACATTAAAAAACATACTTAAAGGGTTTCTCTCAGCATCATGACCTTGTCAGTGATTTGAAGTGGTCATGGTGCCTGGAGTCTGAATGTTAAGGGTTTTTCTGTTTAACCCATTTGTTGCCAGAGGTGTAACTCCACCTCCGGCAGTGTTATGGGTTGTCATCAGCCAGCCTGGATTTCTAATGAAAATTCTGTGCTAATTAAGATGCACAGACACTCATTTATTGTCTGAGAGTGGTCAGATTATGACCTAAGCCAATGAATGAGTGGCAGGATCGACATCCAGCTTCGTCAGCTCTGCAGAATCCCTTAGCTGCCAGAGGTGTAACTCCACCTCCCGCAGCGCTATTGGCCAGTCTAGAATTGTTCTGGCCTGGCTAATGTCAAATCTGTGCAAAATTGGCCTGTGACATCAACACAGACAGCATGCTAAACCCAGAAAGCTGTTTGCGACACAGTCCCCCTAACTCCCCTTGCCACCCCTTTCCTCCCCTCCAGCGAGAGGGACTGACGTCAGCCAATAACCTTTGGGCTGCAGGAAGAATTTGGACTCAGTAATTTAGCTTTATGTATGGTACTTTATGTAATGGAATAACGTTTTTTTTTTTTTTTTTTTTGTGTTTTGGGGGACCACCTCAGAAAGGGTTACTCTAAACAAAACCAGTATTTTATGATTTCAGTAGAAATTGCCCTTTTATACATTAACCTTGTTATTGTCCGGGAGGGCTTGCAAATGCTTCAGACAAAGGATCTGCAGCTTTTGCACACTGTTTTTACCTATACCCCCATCCAAAAAACCCGACATATTTCAATGCATGAATGTTTTCTTTTTTTTTCTTGAGGTCCACAGACATAAGAGCACATTTCAGACAATGAGAACAATAATTACATTCCAATTTGTACAGCAGCAAGTAGTACAGCAGTGCGGTTGTGTGAGTTCAGGTGGACCCAGGCATGTTGTCACTGTGTTCTTACACTGTTTAACTACTTACATTATAATCAGTACACCAGGCTGTAGTGGTTATTGTGTTCAAAGTGTTCCTTTAAGTACATTTGGAAATATACTACTGTATTTGGAATACTGTATTCTGGAATAACAGACATTCCTTAACAGCTCCATAAAAGTACCATGCAAATATACAAATAAATACAGAAAACTTCAATATGTTCACATTTCCAAATTAGTTAATACTTTAGGCCACTTATACAATGACCTGCTATTTTATAACACTGCTTTTTATGTCAATGCACATGTTTACGTCTGAGTGAACCAATATCTTTCCAAGAACAAGCACAAATCAGTAATTATATCCACTTGTATATTAAACCATGTATTATTATTAATCTGAAGAATAAATGCCCCAAGTATATTTCCTCTAAAATAGAAAAAATAGCTGGTGTTAAAATGAAAAGGTTCAAAATAGCCATGTGAAAAACACTGTATCTTGTAAGTAATTTGACATATTTGGCTGCCTGAAAATGACACCCTGGGTAGACAGGCAGGCATATGGGTCGGCGTGCAGGCAGGCGGCCAGTTCTGACCCAGGCGGTCGGGCGCGCAAAGCAGGCAGTGAGGGTGCTGAGCTCTTCCTGATCGGCTCCCTCGAACATTGCAGAGTAATGCCGGGAGCCAGTGATGTCTTATTCTGGCTCCCGGCATTACTCTAGGTCGCGCGAGGGAGCTGATCAGGAAGAGCTCAGCTCCCTCACTGACTGCTTTGCGCGGCCGACCGCCTGGGTCAGAATTGGCCACTGCCTGCTTAGCGCACGCGACCGCCTGGGACAGAACTGGCCACGTGCCTCAGGGGACCAAAAGGTGGCCAGTCGGTCAGCTCTTGGGCCCCCTTAAAACAAGGCTAACAAGGTATTTGCCTGGGCATTTGGGGGTAGCATTTTTTGCTGCCCACTGGAAAGTGCCGCCCAAGGCAAATGCCTCGTTAGCCTCGCAGAAGATAAAGCGCCGTCTATCCTACCAAAAGAGGGACAGTTTGTTCCAGCTCCTAGAAGCTCTGAGTGATGAATACCGTACAGCATCACCTGCAGCTCTATTATCACATGAGAGTGAATTATTTGTAAATAATTCTTCAAACTCCACATGCATGTACTTTAAAAACGCACATTTTTCCTTGTCCCTAAATGTAAACTTTTCCAAAGCCTAAACGAACTTTCTTTTTTTTCCACTTCTCTTTTTGACTTCTGATTTTATGTTTTACCATCCCAACCTTGAGGCTTTCTGAAAGATCAATACTGGCCAATAACACACCATCTATCTCTCTGCACATCAACACTCTTGTGTTTTTTTGTTTTTTTACTAAAGTTACAATTGACAGGAGTTTAAAGTGAATTTCACAATTAATCCCCAAGTAACCAAACCGGAAGAATAGTTGACTTGGAGATTTTTTGCAGTTTGGCTATTTTGGCCTTAAATTTTACATTTGCTTTGAATTTACATGAAAAGTTGGACAATTCTTGCCCGACTTAACTAAAATGTTAGTTCCCATTTTTCCAGTTTTGCTCAAATGTTCCTTGCCTTTCATACTAATGTTTCTTAGCTGTTCCATAATTGCTTAAAATCACTACTATTTCAACCTACTTTCTGTTAACCTCCAACTTCATAGAGAGTCATGGGTAAATTATCTATAACCTAATTTAATGCCTTTCTTTCCATGTGCCCAAGGGTTAGAGGACATTTTTATTTTATGGTGTTAACTATAAGGTTTCAGGTTTTGTGCATGTTTTTCTGTAAGCTTGGAGCTAGCTGTATATTACTACCAAAATGAAGAAAGAGGGTCGCATCACCTTGTGAGTGTCTTCTGATCTAGATGGTGCTCAGTGCATGTAAAAGAGCAGGAGACACAATATAGTATAGTAGGTACTTATACTTGGTGAAGGAAATACAGAAATGCACTTACAGTTTTTTGGAACTTCTGATCAGCTCCAAATATTAGCGCTTGGGCAGTATGATCCCCGCCTGTGGATATACTGGTGCAGCAACAATATTCCATATAATTGGAAATACACTTTACGCGTTTTGTTAAATCACAGGCATTCAAAAGTGGAACACTTCAAAGTGGAAGAGTATACTTTTTACCTACTTATGACATCTCTAGGCATAACTAGATACCACGGGGCCCCAGTGCAAAAATTGCCCTGGGCCCCCCCATACGTCTACCCCCACCACTCCCCATATGTCTACCCACCCCCCCATACGTTGCCGCCCCACACACGCAGACACACACATAGACACACACATATACAGAGACACACACAGACATATATAGAGACACACAGATACATACACACATACATACAGGCACACGCATAAAGACACAGACACACACAAAATATTTTAGTCACCCTCCTGTTTCCTACCTTTTAAATGCAGGAGGGTGACTTCCCTGGGGTCCAGTAGTGGCTCAGCCTGGTGTAGTCAGAGTTACCACTCTGACTCCCTCCTCCTTCCTCCTGCGCGGCTCCCGGTGGTTGTTGGGAGGAAGTGACGGGTTATACCGCGGGCCGGGGCCGCAACACATGGCGACGGGCACCTTGCTTTTATCCAAGATGACTCCAGAAATATCCTTGGTGGGGATTATACCACCTATGCTATTTGGATTGAGGAAACCCATTTTTGCTCTCCTTTTGTAAGTACCCCTCTTTTTTATTTTAAACTGCTTTTTTTTATCAGTGTGCACTATTATTTTTTTTAAATATATTTTCACGTATAAATATTATATGCCACATCTGCATTGGGGAGCTGCTACTACCCACGCCAGGACTCCCATACAGTGCATCTGGTTCCTAATGCACTTCCTGGAAAGTTGTTTCTGAACCAGTATATCCATAAGAGGGGATCATACCGCCCTAGCGCTACTATTTGGTGCTGATCAGTATCTCCAAAAAACTGTATGTGCATTTCTATATTTTCTTCACCAAGTATAAGTACCTACTACACTATATTGTGTCTCCTGCTCTTTTACCTGCATCGAGCACCATCTGGATCAGAAGACACTCACAAGGTGATGCGACCCTCTTTCTTCATTTTGCATCTTACCTACTACCAGAAAGAAGAGACTCTGGCCTGGGTTGTCATAGCTGCCTACTAACATTATCGAAGCACTAGAAATCCTTTATTTATTCATTGTATATATTACTACCAGACTGTCTTTAGTCCTTATAGTTAAAGAGATATTAAAATGTTAGGAATACAGGTTTGTATTCCTAACACTGTAGCTCGATCTGCCTTCCCCCTCACTTGCGCCCCCCGCCCTGTCCAATAAAGTGTCAAATCCCCATCATTCACTTACATGATTTCAGCGCCGATGTGCCTCCGTGCTGGATCGGCACTTTGCCTCCTTTGACATAATCTGACGGGGGTGTCTAATGTGCATCTGGTATAGACTGTCTTAATCCTGGAATGTACACATTTCAGTTTCTCAAAAACTGCACATTTTTACATTGCAGGACCAAGGGCAATTGGGACACTGCACCCAGACCACTTTAATGAGCTGAAGGGGTCTGGGTGCCTATAGT